TTTCTTGGTCTTTCAGCCATTTTTGGCTTTCTCCAATTCAAAAGGTGCTTATAATAATTTGCCTGTAAATTTATCTTTGACCTGTATCACTAAAGATTACAATCAAGAACTGCCATTAATGTAGAATAAAAACAGAACTGTAATAGTAGTGTCTTGTTGCCAAGGGAAGTTGATTGGGCAAGCAAGGTAACCTTATAGAGATCTAATTTGCTATGGAGATCTAATTTGCTATCTCTATTGTAGAGGCCTTAAAGACACTGAGGCCATTAGTTATAGATTTGACAGCCTTACCAGGTAGACCAGACAGGAAACACAAGCAGAAAATTCTTCTTTATTGTAAACCAATTTCATTGTATTTAAGGTCAATGTACTTATACTTAAAAAAAAAACCTACCTTAATAGAATCTTGCAAGTCTGAAAGTATAATTCTTCTCCTGTCACCCTTACAGGAAGGTCACTTCTGAACTTCTTGCTCTGTGCATTTTATAGCTGTGGACTATGCTGTCTCTTTTCTGCCTGTTCCCTAGACAGCATCTCTTTGCCCTGTCTCCCAGAGACTTTCCCACATACCATTATAAGAGATACTGAGTCAGATTTAAACTGTTTGTTATTGCGTATAAATCCCTTAGAGGGATTTTTTTTCACACAAAGCCAAACCTAAGTGAATAGGCATCTAAAAATCATGACTAAAGAGGACCTCTTTAAGAGTTTTTGTATTGTACAAAACAATACAAAGGAAAATCAAGGAAAATGCAAACTAAGGAAAGCTAATTCTAAGATACAGTGCAATGGTTGGTGAGAAGAAGTAAATCATGAAACATCCCCAAGCACTACAGTATTTTAGACCAAATGAGGGCATCCAGCAGATCACATGTCACCCTCAGGGTCCTCTGCAAACTTGACCCTTTTCTGGTTTTGAGTTTGTGCAACAAAATGGGAAACACATACTTTGTTTCCAGCATTTAATTAAAATGAAGAAAAGGAAGAACTCAAAGGAGCAATTGAATATTCTTCTTATGCCTAACAATCAATTGTACATTGTGATACAAATCTTAGATTCTGGAATTCTTCTGAAAGATTTCTCATAAGTCATTACAGGTGAAGTACTTCCTATGTAATATTTGACTTGTAATTGTTATTGATCATAGGGATTACCCTATCTGAGTACTTTCGTGACATGGGCTATCATGTCAGTATGATGGCTGATTCAACTTCCCGATGGGCAGAGGCACTTCGAGAAATTTCAGGGCGGCTGGCTGAAATGCCTGCTGGTATGCATTTTTTTTCTTTGTAACTTTTAGGGAAAAAAACTGATTCAAAAGTTTTGAATTTTCTTGTCATTAGAGAAGCTAACTTGCATTTTATTGGGTGATTGCAGATAGTGGTTATCCAGCCTACCTTGGTGCTCGTCTAGCTTCTTTCTATGAACGGGCTGGTAGAGTGAAGTGTCTGGGGAATCCAGAAAGAGAAGGAAGCGTTAGCATAGTTGGAGCGTGAGTAAATTAATGACAAGATGTTGTTTTTCTGTACATTGTATATTATTTTGCACTATGGCCTGATATCTGACCATCTCGTATATAGAAAACATTCCCTGAAATTAAAAATGCTTGTTCATAACTCAAAGAAATAATGGGGAGCATTACATAAATAAAATAAATAAGACCTTTCTTGTTTCAAGACAGCAAAATAGAGAACAGTCTGCAAATTTGTTAAAGTTGTAATTTTCTTGATACTGTACATAGTTTTTCACTTTTCTGTGAATACTATGCAATGTCTCTGATATATTTTAGGAACTACAGTCATAAATCAAATTGTTCAAGTATTTTCTCTGCCCATTGCAAATGGAACATTCTCAACATTAAACTGGCAGCTCAGAGTTCTGTTTGAAAAAAATGCATTTAATTAGGAAATCCAAGCCTAAAGGTGAATTGTAAACATACTGTACAACTGATGGTCCTTCTCAGTTTGATGTAAGTATTACTACTAATTGTGATTTCCCCTTTCTGTCTTTTCTCTCTCCTATCTCTATTCAGTGTATCTCCTCCTGGTGGTGACTTCTCTGACCCAGTTACTTCTGCTACTCTGGGTATTGTTCAGGTAAGCAATAATTCTGCTCTCTGGCTAGAATGTAAGCATTAATAAAAGCTTCTTGAATCTAGTTGATGAGTCTGTTACTATGAAAGACTTGGTGTTGTTTGTCACTCTTAATCAGTTTATAAATATTTAGGCACATGAGTTTGAGTGGCCAGCCTGCAGCAAATGCATTAATTCTCTATGTGCCTTAATTAGAGGCTACTATTCTGGTTCTGAGGTACTTAGTTTGCTGTTCAGCTTTCCAGGGACTTCTTATTCCCAGCATCTGATGATTAATCCATCTAACATAGCACTGCTTCTTCTGACAATGGTCCTGTAATATTCTGGCCATCTTTTGTACTAGTTTATACTGAGACAACTAATACTCATTTTTTAAAATTTTGGTTTAACAGACCAGATCTTATGGTAAGAATAGCACTGAGCAAAGGCGTTTTCTTCATCTTCACTTATAGGCAGAAGTTTTTGATATTGCTTATACTTAATCTAACACAATTCAATATTTATCTCAAATGCTTATTTCTTTTTGGGGGGAGAGGGGTCAATTACTGTTCTAAACAAGTTGTGATAATTCACTCAATGTGATGAGACAGCTTCATGCCTGTGCAAAAACAACTGGACTCTAATATAAATGAGAATTATGATACTTGATAATAACTTTTTTTTTCAAAATGTAATGCATATCATCACCTAATATGGTATACTTATATTGGGAAAGTGTAAAAAACGATACATTTCTGAAAATGATAGAAAAGTGCTAGCAAAATAGTTTTTATTTTTAAAAAAAACATGCAGAAAGAATGGATATGACTAACATTGGCAAAATGAAGAAGTGAACAAAATGAAATTGATATGCTTGCCAATCCTTAGCTGTAAGGAATGTGCCAAAAGAGAGATCTGGTTTATTCAGAATGAAGTTTTCATTAGATATATCAAGCTTGAAGAACATGGAATCATTTGAAGAATTCTTGGTTTACTTGGATCTCAACCACAGAAGACAACTTGTAATAACTGAGTTTTAATTTGAGAGCTTGTCATTCAACCTTTTATGCTATGTCCTTAATGTAAAAAAAATTCTTAGCTATTAGACACAAGTTAATGGTCTGCACCGAACAAAATATTCACTTTCTTTTTCAGTTTTGAAACTCATTGGCTATTCTTAGTCAAATTGCGCTCCAAGTGTTTAACTTACAATGTCCCAGAATGAGGACCCAGATTGTTGGGGGCAATATGCTGACTCTCTGTAAACCGCTTAGAGAGGCCTGAAAGGCCTATGAAGCGGTATATAAGTCTACTGCTATTGCTATTGCTATTGCTATTGTCCATAGATGGCTTTTAAGGTTCAGGTGTGAAACCCTGTCCTTCTTGTGGCCTTGTCCTTCTTGAAGAAGTACTCTGAGGCAAATGCAGTTCTGTTCATTAAGGATGCTCATTAACATTTTGTTACTTTTGTGGCAGGTGTTCTGGGGCTTGGATAAGAAGCTTGCTCAACGTAAACATTTTCCATCTGTGAATTGGCTCATTAGCTACAGCAAATACACACGTGCTTTGGATGAATACTATGACAAGCATTTCCCTGAGTTTGTTCCCTTGAGGACTAAAGCAAAAGAGATACTGCAGGAAGAGGAGGATCTTGCAGAGATTGTACAGTTGGTGGGGAAGGTGAGTGAAAGAACATTGCTCTTATGTATCTATCCTAAAATCCTGGCATGATGCTAAAATTAGGCTGAATTCAGCATCAGAGTAACTATTTTGGGATATTTAAGAATATGTATCATAGCAATCCCATTCTTTCTTAAATGTTGAATTAAAAA